TAGATTATTTACGGTATATTTTGTAGATGTGTGTGTATGTGTGTGTGTTTTTTTAAATTTTATTTGAATATAATTTTTTTATTACATATATATATATATATATATAAATTGAGAGAGAAATAAAATAAAATGAACATTTCTATTTTATAGAGCATTGAATTATATTTGTAGATACAAGCTTTTTGAACTCTTTAGATTAAAATAGACACAAAGAGGATGAAGCTGATCATGATGATGATGATGATGAAATAGAAGAAGAAAATGACAATGTTATAGAATAGAAAATGTATAAGAACAATTTTGATATTATTGTTTTTTTCTCATATATTCTTTGTTAATTGATATAATGTGAATTATTATAAATGTAATGTGTGTTATAATAAATTTGAACATTATTGTAAAATAAAGTTCAAAGAGTTCTATTTAAATTAAAGTTATCATATATAACATTAATTATATTGAAACTTGTTGACACAGAAGAATTGAAATAAATATTCATACGATAAAGATAATTTTAAATATTACAGATATAAATTGTTAAAAAAAAAAAGAAAGAAATAAATAAAAAAATAAAAATATTTTCAAGTTTTTTTTTTTTGTAAAGACAAGAAAAAAAGTTGGAATAGAAAATATTATTATGTATAAATTTATTGTTCAATATTATTATAATATGTCATTGAATTGTATAAATATATAAGAAGAAGAAGAATGATATATTTATATTTTAAATATATCATTCTTCTTCTTATATATATATATATATAAATATTATATTTATATTATATTATTTTCTATTATTTTTTTATTTCTATTATTTCTATTATTCTATTGTTTTCTATTATTTTATTATTTTATATTATATTACTTTTTATATTATTATATAAATATATTATTAAAATATATATTATATTTTATATATTATATTTATATAAAATACAATAATAAATTATTAATATTATATTTATATATTAATATATATTATAATCTATTATATATATATATATATATAATATAAATTAATAATATATTATATCATATTTATAAATTAATTTTATATAATATATATAATAGTTATATAAAATGTATAATATATATACTGTAGATATGTGTTATTTTATATTATATTTATAAATTAATTTTATATAATATATATAATAGTGTTACATAAAATATATATAATATATATATATACCGTAGTTGTGTGTTAAATTATGCATTTGTTTTACATATTATCTATCCAATTTTTTGATTTATTTATTGTCACAATTACATTGTAATTATTTCGGTATTGTGATAACATAAAAATGATACATAACCTTCTAAAAAATATACAAAAAAAACCCTAAGATATTGATTTGATGAGTTTCACTAGAATTAACATCAAAACTGTATTTTTACGTATTATAATTTTGAAACATATGTAAACATCATATATTTATTTTACAGTTATTAACACATGACACTTAATATTACTTTAAATAATACAAATATCTTTTTCTCAGACTGAATTATTTTCAGAAAAAAGAAAACTGAGGAAAATGTAGGTCTCATAAAAAAAAAGAAAAAAGAAAAAAAAAATAGAAAAGGAGGAAGAAAAATTGTAATGAAGATTGAACGAGTAAATTAAAGGAAGAAGAAGAAGAAGAAGAAGAAAAAGTGGAAGAGGAAGCAGAAGAAGAAGAAAAAAAAACATAGAAAAAAATCAGTTTTTTATTGACGATAATTTAACATAAAATTATAAATCAATCATTCATTTTAATTCGAATGATCATAGGAAAGGAGTACCAATGTGAAAACTTTCTATTTTCATTCAATATTATTAATTTAAAATGTACTTATAGTAGGAGAAACGTAAATCTGTCTGTCTAATATGAGTTTGACCTAACCTCACTAATTCTCTCGTTATTTTATTTTATTTTTTTTTTTTTAAATAAATTCTATACTTGTCATCTTTATCTCGTTTGTACTCGTTAGTGAAAATTATGAGGGTGAAGAATGATGAGACATATATATATATAAAATAGAATATGATAAAATAAATTTATCGCGTATATTCAAAGAATAACAAAAAAAAAATAATAATAATAAAATGATAGAAGAGAAAAAGATGACAAGTAGTAGTAGCCATATATATATATATATATATATATAGATAAATGAAAAAAGAAAACAAAATAATTAAAAACTGAAAGTAAACAAAACTAAAAAGTAAAATATACTTACGGTTCGGTGATAACCGGTGCAATTTTCAAAAGTGTTGACAAAAAGTTTGGATCTTGGCATACGAGTAGCGGCTTTTGAGGGGCACTGTTTACATTGAGTAATCTGAAGAGAATGCAAAGAATTACGGCAAAAACGGCCAACAACGCCGTCGACATTTTATTATTATTATTTTTGTTTATTTGTTTGTTTGTTTGTTTTTTTAAATAATTATTCTCTCTTTTTGTCAACGAAGAAACTTTTTATTTATTATTATTATTATTATTATTATTTTTGTATTTAATTTGAAACGCGAATTATAACGCGTCACGATTTTCTCTTCTTCTTCTTCTTCTTCTTCTTCTTCTTGATAACGCAATGCCTTATTAGTCCCTTTTAGTTGGAATAAGAAAAAGAACAAGAAATAAAAAAAAGAAATAAATAGAAAGAAAAAGAAAATAACGAAGATCGGGACCGGGTGGTTAGTCGAATGAACACGACGACGACCGAACCTTTTTAAAGGCTTGAATCAGACTGTTGGCTTTGTGGATGGGATTTATATATGTGTGTGTTGTATATGTATGTATGTATGTGTATAATGTTTAAGATAGAATGAGTGAGACAGGGTTAGGTTAAAAGTGTAAGAGAGATAGAATAAGAATGTGAGAAGAGTAAGAGGAGTAGGGTTATGTTGAAGAAGGACAGATGTACGTCTCTCACGGGGCGCGGTACTCCTGGAGAATCGATCGAAACGACTCACTCATTACAACTGACACAAAATTACAACAGTTTATTCTTATTTATCGTCTTATTCTTCTTATTAACGTTTTACTATCACTCCGACATTTTTTCTCACTTTCTTTTCTTTGTTCTTTACTTCTTTAACGAGATGAATTGAACGGAAAATGGTACACCATTTGTGATATCCTCTCTCTCTCTGACAGTTATTCCGCGCCGGGTTTATTTTACCGACATTAAGCGATGCGCGCTTCTCTTTCACGTTTAATATGTGAAGGTTGTAATCTTATATGGCCGGTGTTTTTAACGCTATCTATTAATAATGACCGATAACATTTTGGAGAAATTTTGTTATACAATCGTTGATAAGATAGATTTCTGTTTTGTCAATTTATTTTTAGTAATCATTTATCCAACATCGACAAAGATAGATTTCTGTTTTATCGACGCGACGTCGATAAAAAACAGGGCGCGCCTATAAGGATGCAACCCGTAATACACGCGTGTATAAACAGTTTGGACTGAAAAAATATGCCGTCCCAACAGATGGCGCTCGCAAGCAACATTTTCAAAGTGTGTCTGGAGGGTTGCATCTTTACAGGCGCGCATTTTTATAATTAGTAAATGAATAATTAGAAAAAAAGTACAAAATAATATTATATAATAAATTATCTCACTCCTGATAATTATGCACTCGTCTTATTCTTTTGAAACTTGATTTATTATAAGTTTTACTTGTAACTTGTGTAATCTGGACACAGGTTTTATTTTTATTTATTTATCTATAGTATTATAATATTAAGCACGTGATTTTGACATGTTAGAAATATAATACTTATCTTTAGAAATGGATGTTACAAATGTTTGAAAAATGATTTTTATATGATAGTCGTAGTTTAACAGTAATCTTTACTATAAGTGGTTTTAATATTATCTATCGATTAATCGCGACTTTTATTTTAATTGAAAATTATGATAACTATAATTAAACTTTGTCTTTATGATTGATCATAGTATTGATAGATAATAAATATATATAGAAAAAAAATGTAATATTACATTTATAATTGTTTTATTTAATGCATATACGTTTTTATATAAATATTTTAATGTATAATGAGAATAAAATGTTCTTTCATTTATCTGCGAATATATTTAAAATTCTTTCAGACGACATTCGTAGATATGTCACAGAACAAAGAAAATTAATTTGATAAATTTTAATAATAATAATAATTATTATTATTAATAATTGAATATGCGTAATATATTTCAGTCTGAAATGATTGAGCATCGTTATTATCGTCATTCTCATCATCATCGTCGCATTATTGTGGTCCTCGTATGATAAACAAAACAAAACACATGTTAAATTGTCTAAAAGAAAAAAATACAACTAATAAAAACAAAAATATTATTATTTACACAAAGCTAGAAGCTTAATTGTAAATCTAGCACGTATATGATCTGGAATTGGTTAAAAGATTAGATTAGATTATATCAATGCAATATTAAAAATAAAAATGTAAAAGATACAACATACATAACTATAATAATGTATAATATCTCGGAAGTGACTTTTAAATTCTGATAAAATCTGTATTGAATACAAAAAAGGTGTTGTATTTGATTGATATAGGATAAAATGATAAATATAATTAAAGAATGAGGGATTAATTATAGCTACGTATTAATTAATTAAATTGAAACAAAAAGTAACATTGAAGAAATAACAAGAAATATTAATAATGTAGAATTTTATTATTCAGTGACAAAATAATATAAAATAAGAAATAAAAAAAAATTACATTAAAAGAAACTTAAAATAAAATACTTAAATTATTTGGTAACAAATGTATTGGATACAAGTATGGATTTTATTAGTTATGTAACATTATAATAACCACGTAAAATACACATTAAATATTAATAAATAAATTATATATTAATATTCATTATATATTACATTTTATTATATAATAAATAAAAATAAAGAAAATAATATAAGGTAGTTAAATTTAGGTTATTGAAAAATACAAAAATTATAAAATCCATAGTTACAAATTCCTGTGTGTAAAATAATTAAAGAATGCAATTTTAAGTATACATTTTTTTTTCTTTTTATGTCATAAAAAAAATTGAAAAAAAAAAAAAACATTATAAAAACATAGTGACCAACAAGTAGTAATAATAATACTAATAATAATAATAATAATAATACAAATTTGTAAGTAGATAGTGTACAGAGTGAAATGTATATTTTGCGTGTTTAATACGTGTTCACGATTACCGATGGAAAAGAGCTTATCGTGCTAAAAGAAAAGAAACAAAGCAAAAAAGGGGGAGTGAGAGGGAGATATAGAGAGAGAGAGAGAGAGAGAGAGAGAGACAAAGATAGGCATACAAGATCTTCGGAATTCGTGACAAGCAGGCGCAGAATGAATACCGTTAGCGTCTTCCCCGATCGTCGACCGGATTGAACGTTATAAAAGCCGAACCAACCGATCTTAAAAGGACAGTGGTCTCTTAAGTCTTGCAATGGCTAGAATGAAGACTTCTTATTTTCCTTCAACAAATTTTTACTCTTCCTCATATATGAGAAGAGGAAAAAAATGTTATTGGGTCAATGTCTTCGTTGTTTTGGCCATTGCATCTTGTTTAACTCATATCGTTGATTCCGCATCCGTTAATCGACCTAAAAGAGAATTCGTTATACCTGATTGGATTGAAATAGTTGAAGAATCGTCAGGATTAGATGACAGATCTAACGTTCATAGAGCTGTGAACATTCGTGAAGCTAAAATCACATACGATGGGGCACAATTGTGGAGGGTTCGGCCTTCTGATGAACAACCTGTTTTTCAATCGGATGTTTTTTCCGATTTACACGAAATTGGATGTTAGTAAACACGTTATATATATATTTTTTTGTATTATTTTGTTTTATTGTTCTTGACATACTTGTTGTCGTTCATTTGTCGTTTCATCATTTAGATTTATTTAATTTATTAATTATATTTTTTTTTTATTGTGTTTTAATTTGTAATTTTTATAAATTTATGTTCTTCACATATTTGTTGTGTCATTTATTTGATTTAATTTATTAATAACATTTTATTGTTTTCTTTTTTTAATTTTTTTTTTTATTTTCAATTGATGTCTGTGGAATATAAAAAAATTTATGATAATTTTTGTGTATTTTGTTTTTTATAAATAGTAAGTTCACCATGGTTTAGCAACGATACCACCGTGGACATCATGGTGAAACAAGATGCAATAGCAAGAACATCACGTGTTTTGAGAGAAAAGAATCTTCGATACGAAGTTGTGATTGATGATCTACAGAGAGCGATAAATGAAGAAAATCCACCATTGTCTGCTGAACTGATGGAAGAATTGGAAGGACGTAAAGGTTCGTAGGATAAATTTTGTTTCTTTCTACTTTTTGCTGCTGCTCGCTCATATTGCCTGTTTTATATTTGAATGAATCTCAATCAACTTGAGATCAATAATAATTCATACATTTTGCTTTATTCAATTTCTATTTCTTCTTCTTCTTTTCTTTTTGTTTTGTGGGCTTCATTTAAATTTAATAATTGATCAGAAAAAATGAAAAGAAACAATCGAGGGTAAAAGGAAAATAAAAACACACAAGGTAGAAGTGAAACCTTCAAAGTAAATCAAGCTTCGAGACGTGAATATATCGAAACGATTGAATTGTAATACAGCGCCATCTATTGAAAGAATCTTACAGAATCTAGATAACCTCTAAATAAAAATCTTTAAATTAGTAATAAATAATAATAATAATAGAAAATGGCGATAAAAATTGTGCCATGTGCTAAGTTGGACAAACATCACGTGAAATCAAATAAATTTCATTAAAATAAGTTGAGTAATTTTGAAATTATTAATGGACAAACATATTGTGACACACTGCATTTTTATATATAGAATTAAATGATAAAATTGAATTTTATTAATTAATTCATTATTTTTTGTTTCATCGGTTTCACGATTTCTTCCGTTTCACGATTTTCAAATCACCTTGATTCTAAAGAAGTTTTCACTTGAAAAAAAAAAAAAAAACCAAAGATTCTGATTTCATTTCATTGAACACTATTCCACAATCATTTATGCGAATGCGCATAATCATTAAGTCCCATTATCAAAACCGATCACGTATCGAAGAAAGCTGTTGAAAATAAATTGAAACTCTTACTAGATCACACCCGTTAGAAAGTGATTTTCCAATAGAAAGAGAGAGAAAGAGACACACTATCCTTCGATTTCTTTGTTCTTAATCCATAGATTCTAACTAATAGTAGAATAAACAATTACTCAAGTAAAATAATCATGATTTTTAAAGATAAAAAATGATCTATCTTGAAAAGAATGAAACAACTGATGATCGTTGATAAGAATATTGACGTTTTTTTTTTTTTTTTTTTCGAAATTATTCTGTCGTAAAAACTTGAAATTTCATTAAATTTTTTTTTTTTTTTTGTTATTTCAACATTTCAATCACATTGATAAATATCTGTTTAGGTCGTTAACCTTTATAATGGTTTTGAAACTACTGACCCAGATCGGTGAGTTTGATATCCGACATTATCGATTCAACGTAAACAGTTTTATACCTGTTAGTAGAAGCATGTATTATAAGTATATGTAATACGTTATATACATATACATATATGTTATTTTGATCAATTAATTATCGTTTGAAATTATAATGATATATAAATAATATTTGCGTATGAAACTAAAGAGCCGNGATAATCATGACTCCTTGTTAATAAACAAATAATTCGCAATAAAATAATATTGCAATTATAAATTGAGATATAAACTATCCTATCTTTCAAGTTGGATGAAACTGCACACAGTGTGCAAAATTTGATTAAAATCAGTTCAGTTGTTTAGGAGTTCATTGCGAACAAACAACGTGACACGTAATTTATATACGGATTTTCGATATCACTATATAGATGAGAATTCAGTTAGTCTTCTGTCAACTTTTTTATGCAGTCAATGTTACATTTAACCGTTTTTCTTAACCACTGAAATGGATAATAGTAAAAAGTGCATATTCGACATGTAATGCTTTAAGAATTGAAACAAGGCAATAGCACTAAAGTGGCAATTGAAAAAATATACAGCGTATACGGTGCAGGACTGATAACTGATAGGGCAGTCAGAAATTGGTTTGTAAAATTCCGTTCTGGAGATACGATTCTTAAAAGATGAACCGAGTGTGCAGGACGTATTTCCGACTTTGATGAACCTTTTAAGGTAATATTGGAACAAAATCCAATAGATAGGTTGAACAATTGCAAAGAGTGCAAAAAAAAAAAAAACTCCATTAAAGGTGTTTTGCACTTATCAGTCGCAGAAACGCCATTATTTGTCTCACATAAAAAACGGAAGTTATTTATGACTCGACCTAATATTAAAATATGAACAAATAATAATAAGTAAATTGATCAAATGGATTTTTTTTTTTCAAAAATTATTATGTTTATGTTATCAACGAATTTGGTACCAAAATGGCGATGCAGTATTCATCTTTATAAACAAGATTTATTATCAAAAAGAAGAAATTATAATAAAACGAATATGTTAAATCAATAAAAAACAAAACAAAATAAAATAAAATAAAAACAGAAAGATCAATTGAAAGATATTAAAAGTAGTGAAAACGCAATACGATACAAAGCATAATAATTTAGTAAAGCATTAGAACGTATTGCATATATACACATACATAAGTATATCATACAAATATACATTTTGATGGAAAGAAAGTATGTACTTTCATAAATTAAACAAACCTTTCTTATATACATACTCACACATATATATATACATAAATGTACAACGTATATGCATTAGCATGAAAAATAATAGTAGACATTGAAATCGATTAGAGTATATTCCCTTGGTGATACTTTATTATTCCCATATACAATATAATTTTGTACTACTACGACGTTTCCGCTTTTGTTCATCACGACAAGGAAAAGAAGAAAAAAAAAAAAAAAATTAAAAAAAAATATAAAATGGAAGTAAAAGTGAGAGAGTCTCGTTGTCGTTATCGGTATTATTATTATTGAACTCGGTCAATGCGATTATTTTATAAAATACTAGAAGCCTTCCTTCATCGAGGTAAAACTTCTACCATATTGAATTGAATCTCTCTTTGAATATTCTTTAGTTATTTAAATATATAATATATAATATTTAATATTTAATATATTGAAAACAAAATAGAAGAAGAAGAAGAAGAAGAAGAAGAAGAAGAAGAAGAAGAAGAAGAAGAAGAAGAAGAGAAATAGAAATTAGTTCTATAGTATAAATTTGTAATTATTTATCTATTTAATTTAATAACATAATTATAATTGTTAGTTATCATATAATTTATTATAATATTATATAATTTAATAACATAATTATAATTATGTTATTAATATTGTATATAATATATTATCATATTATTAATATTATAATATTTCATTTAATTTTATTAATAAAATTTTGTAATTTAATATAATAATATAATTAAATATATATATATATATATATATAAATTTTATATATACTAAAATAAATTAAATATTATATATATTTAATATAATATAATATTATATATTAAAACAATATAATATTATGCTATTAATATTATATATAATATAATTATAATTATATATTATTAAAATAAATTATAAATAATTAAATTACTAAATTTACAATATAATAACATAATTTAATTTTTAATTATATCTTTTCTTTATTTTTAATTAATTATATACAGGTTAGATCAATATTATAAGAAGATAGATTATTAAAATTATGATTTCTTTTTTTTTTTTTTTCGTATGCTTACATATTTATAATTATCTATAAAATATAACGTAAAAAAAAAAAAAAAAAAAAAATCTTATCGGTCAAGATAAAACGTATAATTTTTATTTGGTTTCTGATATCAAGTAATTAATAACGATAACATTGTAACTATTGATAATGATTGA